ACAATCGGCAAAACATTCAATAAGTACAAATAAAGTAAATCAACCCTGATCCCGGAAATCAGCTTACCTGCTGCTGCATTGCCATATGTTGCTGCGGATCCATAATAGGTGGGCCTGCTGATTGCGGAACATTGGCCGAGTGAGGGTGCTGATGAGGTGGACCATTACCAGGGTACATATATGTGCCAGCTGGAGAGTACGATTGATGATGAGGCGGCACGTTTGCCGGAGGTCCACCAAAGCTTATCAAGTGAATGAAATCTGGGTCTACATCACCAGTCGAAAGTTTGAAAAATGGGAAACCCTTCTGAGAAAGGCGGATGGTGAAACCACCAGCTTACATCGGCGAGCCGCTTTCACGGGTTATGTCACTACTTTCCCATCAATTGGAACCGTTCAGTTTGCTTGAGGTCAGAAATGTTATCGATGTAATAATTTGAATCGGTTCGAGTGATTTGTCTTTGAAGCGCTGAGATCCGAAGCCGCTCTGGAACCCGGGAATTCGAGCTGCGAGACCCACTGAGGCAGGTTTCAGGAAAATGTTGAATATAGCTTCCTAATGCCCACTGAGTTATTGTTTACAGTCATTATTCAGAATCATCAGCTATTCAAAGCTGTGACGCCCAGCTTATAAAATGTGATTGCACCAACATATTATATGCTAGACTAAGAAAAGAATAGACAAAAGTATAAGGATGGTGAGGGCACGCGTAACAACAGTTACCGAGAAATAAATAATAAAATTGAAAATATCCGCTATACAGTCTCTTGTGAGCTGATTCCGCTGATCTAGGAAGGTACGGTACTTAATCTGCCTATTAATTATGTGATGTTTAGCTGGTCTCGAAGGTCTCGTAGGGTAGCGAGACATTTGGTCGGATAAATCGTGAATTGGTTTCCACCTTTTTAGGCTCCGAAGAAGGCGAAATCGCCGAAACGTTAGCCGCCGGAATCATATTATCAACCTCGTGTGCTGTTAAGTCAAATAAACTTATACTATAACTATGCCGAGGTTCATCGAGAGTCGATCATGGAGACTAATAACTGAGTTTTCGAGCATTGAGCAGGTTATTACGTATTTACAAAAGACGGAACGCCTACTGAATAGGAAAGGAGGAGGTGATGGGAAGTGAAGAAGCAGAATATTATAGGGTAATCTTCAAAGACAATCGGCAAAACATTCAATAAGTACAAATAAAGTAAATCAACCCTGATCCCGAAAATCAGCTTTACCTGCTGCTGCATTGCCATATGTTGCTGCGGATCCATAATAGGTGGGCCTGCTGATTGCGGAACATTGGCCGAGTGAGGGTGCTGATGAGGTGGACCATTACCAGGGTACATATATGTGCCAGCTGGAGAGTACGATTGATGATGAGGCGGCACGTTTGCCGGAGGTCCACCAACCATACCTGGTTGTTGCTGCGAGCTGCAAGAAAGGAAATAATGCACGCATAATAGACTTCAAAGAGCAGAACATCTTATTTAAATTTACCTCAAAAGGTTAACCAACAACGGGCTGTTGTTGTTGATCGGTGGAGGCGGCCTTTGCATGGAATGTGGAGCAACCGGTGGTCCAACTTCTTGTTGATGTTGGACAGGATGATAGCCGGGAGGAGGCTGACATACTGGTCCTGGTCCACTGGTCGGTGCAGAACTCGGAGGTGGAGGAGGAGCTCCGACCGAACGAGGCTCACTGAACAATAGACATGAGGAGGAAATACAAACAATAACAATTTAATTCTAGCGAAAAAACTACCTTCGCTCAACGGGTTGTTCAGGTCGCTTTTCTTCAACTTTCACCGGCTGGGGTGGGGGAACGTCATTCACAGAAACTGTTTCTCCGTCGCCAACCTTTACTTTGGATACGCCTGGAAGTCGATCAAACATGAGGAAATGAATAATATTATGTGTAACTCAAAACTAACCGATACGCCCTAATGTATTCGGTTGCTTATTAGCAATGCGTTTCAGCCTCTGAGCGAACTTCGGGGGCAAACGAAAGGTGAGTCGACGACAGTGAACAGAGGGAATGGACGACGAAGTCATGCTTTGACGCCGACTGTCATCTGCTTCACACGACGCACTTTCCTCGGATGCCCCACTCTTCTCGCTGCTTGTTGATGCCACAGGTTCTATATCTGAATTGAAGCAAATCATAAAAAATAGCACAATCAAACATAGAAAAGGGTAAAAACCTGATCAAAGAAAGATTTCAATGTGCACCTCACGAAACGTGGTCATCCTACTTCAACGGCATTTGATATCAAGAAAATTCCCAAAGAAAATTCCCATTGTTGTATGAAAAGATTCCTATTTTGAAGATGATGGCTTAATGTTAACTTGAACTAAATTGAAATGCTCAACGGGGTGCATCATTCTGTTTTTCGAATGCATAAGATTAATTTGTTGGAGAAAAATGAGAAGATTTAAACTCAGAGTCTAACTACTCTTAGCGAAGCTACGGTAGGATCTTTTGCGGAGCTTTCCTAGATAAAAAAAGGAAACATTGGTGACGATACCCGCATGTCTCCCCTTTCCTTCGTCTCTTCCAAAACTTGCGGAAGTTATGTGAAGTTATGCGCGCTCGAAGACACTACCTATGTCATCTCGTGACTGTCACTTTTCTGTATTTCAAGTTGTATAGCCAATTTTCATTCTTTTAAACCTATGAGGCTAACAGCGGTAAGGATGACAATCGTCAAATTGTTTCTTCGAGGTTTCATTCTGAAGAGCCTCGTCCCGCGCAGCTCAACGTTAGGAGGTGGAAACAAACATCGCTGAATATGAAGGTGTGGATTTTTGGGTAATTTCACTTAATGAGACAAATTGGGATAGAATTTTGAATTCAAATGAGCTTGTTCAAAGTGAGCCCCTCTCCCTCTGAATGACGTTGAAATTTCTAAAAATCCTACACTAATTCTTAACACTGAGGTTCAAAATTCTTCGCCCTAATTTCTGAATTTTTCAACTCATGCAACACAGACTTTGAAAAATTGTCTCAAATTTACCAGAATCAAAAAAATCACAACTATGTTGGGTTATGGACAGAACCTTCGCGCCAGGAGGGTCTCCAACTCACACCTCTCGCTTACTGGGCGAAAAAAAAACCACCGGAAACAAAAATTAGTTCGCAATCAATTCTTAACCGAACTGCAAACTGTTGTTTTGAGCAACTCTCAGCCTTTTGCCAAATACGTCAGCATCCGCAGAGATCGAAGAAAAGGCACATGTGTTCTTCAGCACGCTGATATTGATAAATCACGTTATTGTAAAAAAAAATTAATGGATTTATGAAGGCAAGGAATTCCGTTTCAACTTCTAATCGAAGGTATAAGGCATAAAAAAA